GGCATGCGACAGCTTACTGCGTCGTTGGAGGTCGCGGAGTAGGGCTACGTCGAGGGGGGGCATGCATGCAATGCATGGGCGCAGTTCTGCGGGTGGGCATGCATGCTGCGGGTAGGCACAGGCACGCATGCAACGATGGAAAGGGCACTGCGTAGGCTTGGTCCATGCACTGCGTCAACTCTTGTCGTTGGATTCAAATGAACGGTCCTGATGCCCCAACGAGAGAGGCTGATTCAAACCCCACCGATCCAACCAATCAGCGCGTCTAATGCGGATCGATGCACACTGTAGCTAACCCTAGCGCCTGATCTCAACCGTCCACACACAACGATCGACGACCCGGAAGTGTGCGGGGTTTTGAGGGTTTTGAGAGGGGTTTTGAGGGGTTTTGACTGATTAGGGTTGAGCATAACTAACTCAAAAAAATCAAAAAAATATGAAACTTGCGCACATAGTCTTATTATGTCGTATAGTAACGAGAAAAAAAAATATAAATATGGTTTACATACATTTTTACGAAAAACCCTTCACAAAATTGTCATTTCTCGGACAATGTAGTATGGAGTTCAAGGGAGAGAGTAGTGCACACCCGAGAGTAGGTGGGGGTTTTGAAAATGAAAAGTGTGAAAACCTCACCATAACTTCATTTTGGATTGACTAAGAAAGATCTTAACTTACTTTTCTCATTTTCATGTTTTAAACTTGTTTTATATATAATTTTCTATTAAACCTTGTTTTTTCAAAAAGAAAAGAAAATAATAGAAAATTAATTCAATAAATAGTGAGACTTTATATTTACACTATATAGGTAGAATAGATGTGTAGAAAAATTATTTGGCTGGTTTAGAGAAGGTGCCAAAAAAACTTGCTTAAATATGAGGCCGTTTACCCTACCTTTGGAGGTCATTTGAAACACACTTTTCATGACTATGAGTTCAACTTATCAAAAAGGCTCGGAATGATCAGCAAGCAAACATATTTCAGTTGAGGTACTTTAGATAGCATTAAAACATCAATACCCCATCCCTAATTCAAATTTGAGCCCAAATTTGAATTTTATTTGGCTGTTTTAGACAAGGTACCAAATATTATTACATGCCTCAAATTTTCAAACTGTTCTCTATTCTACCAGTACGAATAGAATAGTGACTACCAGTACGCACCAAGTTACAAATATTATTAGATGCCTCAAATTTTCAAATTGTTCTCTGTTCTACCTCTTCCTATCACGTCGTGTGCCCTTCTTCGCCTTAGCACTTCTTGTTTTTGGTTCTACTACACACACACGTTCACTGATCATCTTGGTTTTCTTCACTGGTCTTTTCAACACCTCGCCAACATCCTCGTGATTAGTGTCTTCAGTCTCAATGTTGACAGAAGTTTCAGTTTCTTCGATGTGTACCTCAACATGGGTTTCTTCAATCTGAACCTCAACATGGGTTTCTTCAGTCTGAACCTCAACACGCTCAGGTTCAGTTTCAACCTCGAGAGCAGTTTCTTCAGTCTGAATGTTGACTGCAATTTCAGTTTCTTTGGTATGCACCTCCACATCAGTTTCTTCAGTCTGAATGTTGACTGCAGCAGGATTTTCTTCAGTCTGCTCAGGCTCAGGCACACTTCTCTTCTTTCTACCGCCATTGACTCTTGCTTTTTTTGTTGGCCAACACTGTTCAACAACAAGGGGCTGACTTGCTCGCTTCCTCCTGGCCATTGGGGAAATGTTATAGATATAGTAATTGGAAAAAAGCACGAAATCAAAACACAGACAAATAAACAAGAACATACTTTGGCTTATCAGGAGTGTAACGGCATTTGACAGATCCCACAACCACATGAGCATGATCCTGATTTGGTCAACCATGTCATGCACAGGCAAATCTTTTAACTCCTTCACCTTGTTGTTGAAACTCTCTGCCAAATTGTTGTTGATGTGGTCACACTTGATGGCAGTGTTGAATGCTGACATGTACCATAACAAAGAATGGAAGGTGTTCAGCCATGGACCAAACTCATCACATGCTGCCATTATCTTATCAAGATGATATTTGTGTGCCTGTCTAGTGTAAGATCTTGCTGCTGGCCACATGCGCCCAAATTCTTCTCCTCTAAATTTTTTGATCAAATTCATCCACAAATGACCGAAGCACTCCCTCTGCTCAGCATGTGGGAAAACATTTTTCACTGAATTTTCAAGCCCCTTACATGCATCTATGTGTATATCCAAAGGTGACACTGGCCCTAGGCATCTTTTCAACTGGATCATGAACCATGTCCATGAAGCCTCTGTTTCTGACTGAAACAAGCCAACAGCAATAGGAAACATCCAGTTGTGTCCATCTAGAGCATTGCATGCTGCCAACTGACCATTCCACTTGCCTGTCAAAAATGATGAGTTTATGCTCAAATATGGACGGCACCCTACTTTGAACCCATCGATGCAAGGCTTCAAAGCCATAAAAAACTTGGAGAACTTGACTTCACCTTCGGGTGATACCTCTGTATCTATCTCCACAACACTGCCAGGTGACCTCTTTTCCACCTCTGCTTTAAAGTTGTAAAGCATCCTAAATGTATTTGCCCAATCACCATATAAATTTTTCATTTCCCTTTGTTTTGCCTTCCACACTGTGGTATATTTCAGTCTAATGGGGTACATCTTTTCCAAGTCTACTTTGAGTTTCTTGGCAGTAGTGTTTGGTGTTTTTGCTAAAATTGGGGTGATCTTTTCTGCAACCCAAAGTTGTGATGTCATGGTTGATACTCTCTGTGAACTTGTAATACAAGTATGTTGATTGGGGATTTGGTTAACCCTGACAGTACTTCCATCAGTTTGTAGTCTAGCAGATATGTACCACTTGCAAGGCTTCACACTACCATCAAATCCTCTGCACCTTGCATATAACTTCTTTCTATCAGTCCAAGCAGTCTTGGCATCAAACTCATGTTTCACTGCATAAGTCTTGAAACACATCCTAAAGTCCTTCATGCTTGGGAAAAACTTGCCTACTTCAATAACAGGGTTCTCTTTGTCATACACATGCACCAGCTCATCATCATGTGCATCATCTACTTCATCTGCAGCTTGTTCCATCAACTGTCCATCTACTTCTTCATCAGCATTAGCAGGCAAACTAGATTCGCCCCTCTCCTGATTATCTCTGTCATCGACTGGAATGCCAAAAAGTTTGGCCATCTCAATGTCAGGCATTGGTGCAATGACCAAATCAGTAGGCTCATCTAATTCAACTACATTCCAATCAACAGTTGTTGCAGTTTCAGTTTCAGTTCCATTCACCTGTCCCTCTTCGACTATTACTGTAAGTTCGGTGCACATGGGAATCAACGGCCTCTGTGTAGCCCAATCATCATCTACCATCTACGCAGCCAATTGTGATGGCACATATCCAACCTTCGAAAAAATGTTCAGATCAACGAGCTCAGCAAAAAAATTAGCCCGTTTGCTTGTCCAGCCGTTTTGCCGATCGACAATCTGTTCATCATCTTCTATTCTAACATACTCTCCTTTCCAATCATCAAACCGCAACAGTGATACTTCTTGCTCTGGACCCCAAACAATATTCTCCCCAAATTTTCCACCATTTCTTCACTGCCGTCTCTCCCATGTTCTGTAGAACTTGTGGATCAATCTCTGTAAACTCAACATCCCATTTAACAATTGTGTCTCTCTCAATGTTCTGTATGCTACCATCAACTAATTTTGCCTTTGATGGAAAGAAATTGACTGTCAATTCAAAGGTCCGAGCGGCAGCATCCCCTCTGTCAGTGGCGGACAGTGTGAGCCCGTGAGAAAGAGCAGACGAGGCCACCCCCAAATTGCATGCAAAATTGGATCGGTGAGAGGAGCATTACCTATTCGAAGTTGAATCTGGCAGCTCCATCTCAATATGCCCACGGACTCCCCTCACAACCTATCGATTCCGCAAGCGAAAACAGAGGAAACGAGCTGAGATCTACGGGCCCGAGAGAGGAACGGGAAGGCGACTAGGGTTTGAATTCACTCACCATTTTCTGAGGACGAAGGCTCCGCCGCTGTTGAGAACGAGGGCTCCACCGCCGCCACCGGAGAAGAAGGGGGGCAGAGTGGCGGGCCCGGCATGGTCGGGCGGCAGGGCACGGTCAGTTTTTTTGAGGAACAATTAAGTTGGACCCACATGTCCTAACATAAACGGGCAGGCTTGATTGACGACCAATTTAACCACATTTAACAGCCATGTCGTGCGTGGGCTATTTACCTGCTCAAATGTGTCGCACCACAACCATTCGCTCGAACAACGTCGCACACTTGCCAATTCACCTCAAAAACGTCGCACAGGAGCTATTGGCCCGTCTTTGGTAGAAACAAATACTACTCTGTAGAAGAATATAAAGCCATTCTAGTCAAGTTTATCTTACTTACCGAAGCTGATGGTGGTGTTGTGGAATTCTTCCATCACATCTCAAAATCGAGGCAGACTATTCAACTACACATCATGTGTTGGAGAAATTTCCTAGCGGCATAAGAGAAAATTCCTATTAAACTGGAAACCATGATAATTTCCAACGTGCGTAAGCTAGAGAGATGGCACAAGGAGGTGGCAAGACAAGTAGCGGTTGTATCATTCTCTCAACTCAAGAAGCTACTCCCTCCGTTCCAAGTTACTCGTCGTGGTTTTAGTTCAAATTTGTTTCAGGGAGGCCACTTGAGTTGTACATGCATTCACTGAAGAATGGTACACTGAAGAACTAAAGCTCAGTTAAGTTCAGTTAGGTGATGGGATAAGTGAAGACTGATGGGTCAAATGGGTCATCTGTAGCGGTGGCAGAGGATGAGGATGAGGAGGCTTCTTGGCTGTCCATGTGGTGCAATTGATTTGCGTGGCCCAGAAATGAGACCTATCTTTTCGTCATCGCGTGTGTGAGAAGAGAACCTATCTTTTCTTCAGTCGGCACCTTCCTACGACTGCTGCCGCCCACCGGGCAACCCACCGGCGGCGACTGAGATGGGTTCCCTGCTGATACCGCTGGTGAGCAGCATGGCCGCCAAGGCCGGCGACGCGCTGGTGCGTGAGCTGATGCGGGCGTGGGGGCTGGATAAGGCCCGCCAGAAGCTAGAGCGCCACCTCGCCGCCGTCCAGTGCATCCTGCTGGACGCCGAGGCCAAGAGCCGCACCAACCCCGCCGTCCGCCGATGGGTCAAGGACCTCAAGACCGCCGCCTACCAGGCCGACGACGTCCTCGACGGCTTCCGCTATGAGGCGCTGCGCCGCCGTGCCGCCGCCCAGATCCGCCGCCACTCCACGGCACGCAAGGTCCGTCCCACTCCGGCTGCCCCCTATTTTCAGTTTTGGGATAGCTGTTACACTTCTGTTTTCAGTTTAGTGCTTGCTGTAATTTCTGCCCCCTAATAATTTCATTTCAAGGCTCTAATTTGGAAATACCAGCCTTTTTAATTTCTGTTTTCTTTGCTTCTATTCCAGGTTCTGAGCTACTTCACCACCAATAGCCCGGTTGTTTTCCGTCTCTCCATGAGCAGGAAGATGAATGATGCCCTTGAAATCATAGATGACCTGGTGGTGGAGATGAACACATTTCAGTTCTTACAACATGTCGGTGCACCGAGCATTGATCACCCGCAAACACACTCGCATGTCATTGAATCAGAGATTATCGGTAGAGAAGATCACAGGGAACAACTAGTGAAGATGTTGCTCAACCACAACAATAGTAATGTCATGGTGCTTCCCATAGTTGGTATGGGGGGAATTGGTAAGACCACCCTTGCCCAACTTGTACACAATGATCAGAGGGTGAAGCATCATTTTGAGTTGGTCATATGGGTCTGTGTCTCTAACAAGTTCATTATCAAAGAAATAGTCCGATCTGTAGTAGAAGTGGCCACCATGAAGAAATGTGATTTGACTCAGATGGAAGCACTGCAGAAGGAACTTAGTCTGGTGTTGGCCAAGAAAATGTACCTCCTAGTGCTGGATGATGTTTGGAATGAAGATAGGCACAAGTGGGATGATATGAGATCATTGCTATGCTCACATGCTGGCCCACGCAGTGCTATAATTGTGACAAGCCGCAGCGATCAAGTTGCTTCTATCATGGGCACACATCCTCCACATCATATATCCCTTCTCAATGAGGATCAGTCATGGGAGCTTTTTCAGAGAAACGTGTTTGGAAGGGAAGCGGAAAAGCAAGAGGAATTGATTTCAGTTGCAAAAAACATTGCCCACAAGTGTAAGGGGTTGCCTCTTGCTATCAAGACCATAGCAGCTTTACTTCGTTCAAAGCATCACAATCAGTGGTTTTCTGTTCTGGATAGTGATGTCTGGAAATACGACATCCTCACATCTACTGCTATTGTACCTGCACTACAGCTAAGTTATGATCACTTGTCATCCGAAGCAAAAATATGCTTTTCCTTTTGTGCTCTTTTCCCCAAGGATAACCCAATGGACAAAAATATGTTAATCCAGCTATGGATGGCAAATGAATTTATTGCATCAGAAACAAGAGGCCAACAAATCTTTGATGTGTTAGTATGGAGATGTTTTCTTCAATTAGATGTGGAGATTCCAGAGCATCTACTCTCCGGATTTGGAGACAAGTTCATCCACCGACCAATTACGTGCAAGATGCATGATCTCATGCATGATCTTGCTGACTCCGTAATCGGAAATGATTGCTCCAGTATACAAGAGTCTTCACTATGTGAAGAAATTTTGCAAGGATCCACATATTTTAGTTCATTGCAGCATGGGGTTCGGCATTTGTCACTTGACCATGTCAGTAATAATACCATTGCAATCATGAAGGAAATTTTAGCTCCTCGGCCCCGCACGATATTAGTCCAAAGTGAGTGGTGGTTTGAGACTCGGTATGGGACTTCTCTGAGTGTGGCCAAGTCAAAATTCATGTCATTGCGAGCATTGAAGACATACTCAATCATAACACAAATGACAAACTTGAAGCATCTTCGCTATCTAGATTGTTCTTGTTCAGCTATATCTTCACTTCCTGAAGCCACTACAATGTTATATAACTTGCAAACACTGAAGCTCATTCAATGTACAAAACTCATGAAATTACCAGAAGGCATGAGATATATGATCAATCTTCGGCACATCTTCCTCCTTGGGTGTCATCGTTTGGAGCGCATGCCACAAGGTATTGGTCAGCTGAATTCTCTACAGACATTGACAAATTATGTCTGTGATAGTGATGTAGGTTGTGGAATTGATCAACTGAAAGATTTGAATCTTAGTGGTGCTCTTTCTTTGACTAAGTTGAGAAAAGTGCATAGTGCAGAAAATGCAAAACAAAGCAATATGTCCGCTAAGCATAATGTGAACCGATTGTCACTTGATTGGGAAAATGGACCTTCTTATAGCACACAAGATGGGTATGAGGTAGATGCCAATGCAGAAGGAATATTAGAGGCCCTTTGTCCTCATGAAAGAATTGAAGCTTTAATGTTATCTAATTATAGAGGTGCAAAATTGTCATCATGGATGCACAACTCTGTACTGTTGGAACATCTTAGTGAACTTTATCTGAGTAGCTGCAAGAACTGCAAGGATCTCCCCCCATTATATAAATGTCCCTCCCTCAGGTACTTGAGTTTGAAAGGTTTTCATAATTTGACACGTATATGTGTTGGTGATGATGATACAGACAGTGGGCAATCATGTACTTCTCTACCACCCTTCTTTCCTAAATTGGAATATATGAAGCTTTCCAACATGCCTAAGCTAGAGAGATGGCACATAGAGGTGCCTGGACAAGCAGCGGTTGTATCACTCCCTCAGCTCAAGAAGCTAGAAATTATTGAATGCCCAATGCTACGAAGCATGCCCAAGATGCTCCCTCTGCTTGAAGATCTACTGATAAAGTGGGCAATCGCCATTCCCGTGTACCATTTAATTAATCTGTCCATGCAATCTAATCTTGAGTGCAAGGGCGTCATTTCAGTGGAAGCTACAGTTGGTTGGAAGCCCAACGAACTTCATTTCTCGAGGCTTGGTGACTCATATGTGACACTGAAACTCAAAGGTTTGAAGGACACTGTAGAGCGCTTTGAAGAGAAGCTGAAAAGAGTACCTTCCAGATTTATTAAGAACTTGGATATAGTAGATTGCAAATGTCTTTTCTCATCTGAACAATCTCAAAGACAGCTCAATATATGGAACCATTTTGGTTTTGTTAAAACAATCTGGATTAGAGGCAGCAATGATATAGTACAATGGCCAGTGGTAGAACTTGGAAATTTGAATCATCTTGGAGATCTACACTTGATTAGTTGTTCCAACTTAACTGGTTCACTTCCATCAAGAATATCCGATGACGAAAATGTCTTGCTTCCTCAACTCCAGTATCTTGACATTATTGACTGCAAGAATTTGGTGGAGGTACCAAAGTTGCCTGCATCTCTTGAAATATTGCGCATCCGTTCTTGTCCCAAGCTGGTGTCCATGCCAACAATTCTTGGGAATGTGAAAAAATTGAGAGAGCTCACTCTGAGTGGGTGTAACGCGCTGGTGGCATTTCCAGATGGAATGTATGGAGTCACTGCACTCAGGATGTTGAAGATGGTGTGGTGCCCAAGGGTAGAGACACTACCGGAGGGACTGCTGCAGCAGCTCCCTGCCCTCGAGGACCTATGGATCATGGGCTGCCCCCATTTAGAGGGAGCCTTCTCAAGAGGAGGCGCTTACCAGGATTTGGTTAAGGCTAAAGTAATTCGAGAGGCAAGACTTGGCGGTGAGCTTGAAATTCACATTAGCTCACATTGATCTTTGATTGAGATGCCAGCCTCATGGGATTATTTATGTGTGGCGTTCCAGGATTGATGAATTTGTTGAGTGCAACATACCTACCTACTCCCTCCGTCCCATAATGTAAGACTTTTTTGACTCTAGTGTAGTGTCAAAAAACGTCTTACATTATGGGACGGAGGGAGTAGATTGGATGTCAAAACTCAGAAGCGCTTGTATCAGTTGGCATGGAAACCTTGCCTTAGTTCCTCCACAAGTGTTATTAACATTGTTGATCTGCTATGCAAGCTGCAACGGTTAGGACTGAATTTCCAGCCACTCATAGATTATACTTGTTTTTTTTTCTCTTCTCTTAGCAGACTATGGCCGTAGCTTTGTCTTTATGGGCTGAAATTCTGTCAATGTATACTACTTGATCAGTCTTCAAGTAATCACTGTTACTGTATGAAAGAATCTAGTGACTGAGATGCTCAGTTCCGTGCCACACAAAGTCAGATAAACTGCTTCATATTCTTTATGTGTTTTATACATATATGTATATGCTCCTTCAACTATCCTCTTCTGCTTGGTTACTGAAATACAACTACTACCACTTCTGTACTTTTCTGGAGAAAAGTGTAAGAATTTTCATGTGGCAACCTCTGTGCTTCTCATTGTCAATGTGCGTCGCAGTTCTAAGGCTGCATGATACTAACAATGAAGATTGTCTACACAGGAAGAAATGTAATTAGTTGCAACAGCACATCCAGCACAAGAAGAAACAGCAAAGCAGCATCTGCCTTCAGTGTGTAGTGATCTTTGTTGATATCAATGAATTAAACATCAAGAAAATTCGCAGAGGTTGAAGTCATTCAGACTCTTGTTGTGTAAACGTTGTTGAGGAAGGGGGTTGGTGCATGTCTTCCTTGTACGCATCTAATCTGCAGTAGGTCGCAGTCGCCTCTGCAAATGTACAAGTCAACCAAGCATACAGAAAAGAGGTTGCCTAATTAAACTAGCCTTTTCAAACTTACTCTAATTGAAATGTGTAGTATTACTATCTACTACTCCCTCTGTAAATTAATATAAGAGCGTTTAGATAACTAAAATAGTGATCTAAATGCTCTTATATTAGTTTACGGAGGGAGTACTGTATTAGTGATGATGTGTACATTGTATATCATGTACTGAAACAGCTCGAGTATAGTGCTTCTTTGAAAAGGTGCTCCTTGTTACCCGGTTCATCTTCTGACAATAATAGATCTTCATGGACTGGAAGAATATTAAGATTGCGGCAAGAAAGAAGAACTAGAAAAATCAGAATGGAATGCCATAATACAGAAGATGAGATTCTTATGAATACAACATCTGCTAACCTGATTAAATGTTGTCCTGCTCTGTTGTTTGACGCTAGACTAGGAGTGTGTCTTATTGGAAATGTTGGTGTTGGAATTCCACAGCGAAAATTGTACAAACCGACGTTGCTTGCTCTGTTGTCCCTTGCAGAGGTCAAGGAAACACAGAGGAGAGGAGCTGCTCTGTTTCGAGCAACCAAATACATGCAGTATTTTCCAGCAACTCTTCAGTTTTTAGCACAGAGACGCCCACGATTGCAGTTTTCAGCACAGGCAGTGGCATCTATGCATTAACCACTCCCCACATTACAGATTTTCAGAAAAAAACAGTTTTTTTTAGAAAAGGAGGTTAAACCCCCAGCCTCTGCATCAATCGATGCATGCAGCTATCTTTATTGATTATTTCATAAATGTCTGACAAGAATATACATCAATCCACCCGAAGCCACCACTTACACCTACAAACTCGATAATGTGGAGCACTCTCACTCCTCATATCTAAAACCGGTGCCGTCGCCGATCCATCCACATAACATATCGGGACCAACAGCCAGTGCAGCCTACCTAAAACGCGCACCACATGCATATGTTTTAGAAGCTGCCATTGTCATCGGACCACTGACCCATCTTCAGGAGAGAGATCCGCATCTTCCTTGCCAGTCCGGACATCCGTCGGCGCCACCACGGCGCCCAACGGCGCCACCGCCCTGCACTCATCCGTCCAGACGCGAAGGCTCTGGAAGATCCGTCGTACGTAGCACCTGCCAACCAGGCATGACTCAGCGTCACACCTGTCGGCCGGGCATGACTTGACAGCTCCACCGATGCTCCGTGCAAGATGAAGCCGCTCCACCTCCTGCCTCTGTCTTCCAGCGCTGCTCCACTTCAGAGAAACAACTACTACTCAACAATAAATAACCGAAGAAATGCATGAATATGCGTATTAAAGAAACAAGAACTGAAAATTTTCAGTAGCACTTATCATTGGAATTCAGAAGCATTTATCACAGAAATTCAGAAACAGTGGAACAGTTGTAGATGCAGTAACTAATTGGACAGCAATAGCAAAGTTTGCCAAAATTAACCTTCAAATCGAAGATCTTGCTACATGGCGAAATCGAGCTGCACTATGCAAGCAAGACTTTTAGGGCCCATCTCATAGTGACTCTGAGAAGAAGGGAAGGTATGGAAGATAAGGAGGCTTGCAATCCCATCCAAGTTTAGTTATTATGCGCAGCACCCCCGAATTCAAAATTTGGAACATTTTATGTGGGAGATCCTTTTGGCGTTCTACACATTGGAAAGAGGCGCACCACACACCCCTCGCTCTCCCATGCACCATTTTGCGTTCGCCCATGTGCGGGGCGAGACACCGCCTATTTTGCCAATTCATCTTTTTCATTACATTTTTATTCATTTTTTTCCTCTTTGTGTTTTTCTTCTTGAAATAATTCGAGCATTCAAAAAAGTTGAAATCATTAAATGTTCATGAATAAATAATATGTCTGTGGTTTTAGAAAACACTTTCGCATATTCATAAAATGTTCACAATCTGGGACAAATGTTCTGGAAACAAGTAAAGTTCATGATTTTGAAAAAAAGGTTCTTACTCAAAATTTGTTCGTGAATTTGAACAAATGTTCACGGACTTTTAATTGACCATGATGTTTTCTAAATGTTCACAAAATTCAAACGTGAACACAAAGTTCATCGACTTTGAAAAAGTTTGTTGATTCAAAAATTGTTCATGCATTTAAAAAAATAATCATACAAATATTCATGAATTTCAAACATTGTTACTCAAATTAAAAAAGTGTTTGTCGATTCAAAAAATTCTATTGATTCTGAAAATATTTAGAACTTAAAAAAAATAATCTTTAACTATGTTCAAGATTTCAAAGAAAAGTTCACGAATTTAAAACATATTCATGATTTAAAACAACGTTCACGAATTTGACAAGGTGTTTTCAAAAATAAAAAAAAGTAGATTAAGCAAGAAAGGAGAAAAGGAAAGCAAAAATAAAAATATAAGGAAAAGATAAAAGAACATGAAAGAAAGAAAAAAACGAAAATACAAAAAGAAGAAAACTGAAAAATAAAGGAAAGAAATAAAATGAAGGAAACACAAAAAAGGGGCAGAAAACGAAAAACAAAGTCGTGGAAGGTTCTAGGACTTCTACCATCATGAGCTAGTTGGGCCAGTCTATATCTCGCGTTCACCGAGTCAAGGCTTCATGGGCCTCTGCAGTTCACGGTAGTACACTGCTTCATTTTTTTCTGTTTTCTTCACGTTTTCATTTCGTTTTTATTTCATTTTTACTTTTTTTTTTGCATTTTTAAATATTCTAAACATATAAGTTACAAAAGTAGACTTTACCAAGTATTTTGAAAAATATTAACCAGGCAATTGAAAAATATTCAATGTGTATACAAAAAATGTTGATCATGTATTAAAAAATATAAAATAGTTTGATCATTTATTTGAAAATATTAATAAAATCATTTGAAAAAAATGTGAACAAGTATTTAGAAAATATTAGACAAAGCATTTGAAAAATCTTAATTGTTAAAAAAAATTGTTGACCTTGTATTAAAAAATGATGACTTTCTTGATCATGTATATAAAAATGTTAATTAAGCATTTAAAAAAATGTTGAACAAGCATTTTTTAAAGGATTAATTTGATAAATGCGGTGTGTTTGTCGAGATCTGATGAATTGTGGATTTATGATCAGATTATTTATGAATATTATTTAAGTCTTTTCTGTATTCTTATATGCATGATTTGATATCTTTGTATTTCTCTTCGAACTATCGGTTTGGTTTGGCCAAATAGATTGGTTCTTTTTGCAATGGGAGAGGCGCTTAGTTTTGGGTTTAATCTTGCGGTGTCCTCACTGAATGACAAAGTAGGGGGTAGTGAGGCACATATTGTATTATTGCCATCGAGGATAAAAGGATGGGGTTTTCATCATATTGCTTGAGTTTATCTCTCTACATCATGTCATCTTGCTTAAAGCTTTATTTTGTTTTTATAAACTTAATACTCTAGATGCATGCTGGATAGCGGTCGATGTGTGGAGTAATAATAATAGATACAGACAGGAGTCGGTCTAGTTGTCACGGACATGATGCCTATATTTATGATCATTGCCTTGGATATCGTCATAACTTTGAGCTTTTCTATAAATTGCTCGACAATGACTTGTTCACCCATCGTATGTTTTCTTTCAAGAGAGAAACCCCTAGTGAAACCTATGGCCCCCGGGTCTAGTGAAACCTATGCAATTTATTTGTGTTACTTTATTTTACCGTTTAGTAATCTTTTATATTTATATCTATCAGATCTCATCCTTGCAAGTGACCATAGAGGGATTGACAACCCCTTTATCGCGTTGGGTGCAAGTGTTTGATTGTTTGTGCAGGTACATAGATTGAAGACTTGTGTGTACCTCCTACTGGATTGATACCTTGGTTCTCACTAAGGGAAATACTTATCTCTTCTTTGCTGCATCACCCTTTCCTCTTCAAGGGAAAAGCCAACGCATAATATGACGGTTCACCATACGTGCATGCTACGTGATACGCCTCCAACGTATCTATAATTTTTGATTGTTCCATGCTATTATATTACCCGTTTTGGATGTTTATGGGCTTTACTTTACACTTTTATACCATTTTTGA